TACTAGGAGCAAGGATAGGGGCTCCTGGCCTTACTACTAGGAGCAAGAAGCTACTAGGAACAAGGTCTCACACACTATGTCTCACACACTCCACATCCTTCATCATCCCTCCAGTCCTCGGCTGGAAGAGTAGGCTGTGAGCGGCACATGGAAGCGGCAAAGCAACAGAGGCCATGGGCAGCAGCGAGGTCTTCAAGGGCCAGCGGAGACCAGCGACTTCGATCCAACACTTTTCCCTAAATAAGCATCTTTGCTCCAAGTAGCGATGCCCTTTGTTCCTAGTAGTTTCTTGTTCCTAGTAGCAAGGCCAGGAGCCCTAGTAGCGTCCTTGCTCCTAATACTAAATATATATGTACTCATGATCTAGTCTCCCACAAAAACTGCCACAAATATTTGGGAAGGGCCTCGTGTTAAACCTGCCATGCCTTTGACCCAAAATTCATGTCAGTCCGCCCTTAACTTTGAAGAGCGCTGCGTTGAGTCGCAAAATGGAAGCAGTTCATCAAGCATGTGGCTTGTTTGCTAATATATAGCAGTAGCATCTAATAGCCAGCTTCGACGCACCTTATCCATGTTGCGCCCACACATGTTCAAGCGTTCAAACAGCGTTCACACACGTTCAAACGCGTGCAACTACACTTCTGCCATGGCCACCCACAGTGACATGCCAATCGCCTCCCGCGATGCGACATCTTTTCGCGCTTTGCCCTAGCAGCACTTCATGGTTTTTTTGGCGGACCCTTCAGACCCCAAGCCACATGTCTCCTCGATTCTGTCAACAGTGTCCATCACCGCCCTATGCTCACATGCCATCTGGAAGTTCATTCCATCAGGATCTGAAGCCGCTGGAGGAAGGGCAAACGCAAGATATGCGCCAATTGTTTGCGCTGTTGATCACTATCACAGCTCATCATGACCTTCCATGTCCAGTTCAGCACTTTGCGGTGCATTTTGACTGGGCATCTCCGGCACATTCCCCTCCAACTCCTCCCGCTTCTCGTGGATCTCCTCGGCCGCGGCATCCGGGTTTGCTGCCAGCCAGTCTTGCGCATCACTGGCTGCGGCCAGGAAGGTGGAGGCATCCTCTTCCTGGGCCGGTCTAACTAACCGTCTAACCGAAACGGTCGCATCCCCCCTGCAAAAGCATTTCCAAATGATCCTTCCACACATGATTCTACGCGTGACAGGCCTCCAGCAGTTTTCACAAGCCAAGGAAACTACAAGTTCAGCAAGTGAATGTTATATCAAAGTATATCATAGAATCATCAAAGCGTACTTGGCAAATCGGGAGTTCCAGCGCCATCTCTGCCGCCAAATGCAAAGACCTTATGAGGAGCTTCAAGGCGAGTTTTGCTTCTGCCCTTGCCAAGTCTTGCTGGTCCTCTCTCCTTATCGGCTGCAATGTGACAATCGGGAACAAAGAAACATCGTTACAATAAATCGCTCTGCGTCCTTGTCTTCATGAAGCAGCGCAGGACCAAAGAACCAGGAGGCAACCAAAAAAACAGGCTCAACATTGCTGGGTGAAGAAGGAATGACATGGTTAAAACATAGGTACCGGGCAGTGGACGCAGCAGCCTGAAAGCAAAAAACGGTATTGTTGGGATCAGTTGATGCAGGTAAAGCAAATCTTCATTCAAACCAAGCATCTCAAAGTCTGCTGCCTCCTTAATCATCTCCTCAATCTGCTCTTTGCCTGGGCTTTGGACTTGTTTATACAATAACTGAGCATCTGCGTCCACAAGATTCCACAAGAAAGCAATCCGGTGACAAGAAATTGCATCAGGTGTCTCATGGCATTTCATGTTACCCCATTCGCTTCAAAACCCTTCACGGTCTATCGCCTCAGGGTTTTAGGGTGCATGACATCCTGGTAAGGCACCAAGCATGGTGAGAGACCTTGGCAACGAGTTGCTTGGCTGATCCTCGACCTTGAGCTCTCCGCTCTGGCCAGAGCTGGTGTCCCTGGCTTCCACAGAGAGCAAACCATTCCTAAGCACTAGGCGCTGCATGGCACTGGGTTTCTGCACGGTATCCTATGGGCAGTAGCTGCTACAGCCTGCGCTACACTCGGGCCTTCCGTGCATAACGCTTTAGCCCTGCTTTAGCCCACAAGCATATCCATAGCCTGCCGAGTAACACATCCACTTTGAAGCTTACATGGATCTGAGGAACTCCACGAGGCGCTGGAGGTATCCTGATTGACCCGGTCGAATCTCCAAGCCAACGTCTTTTGGCTTGCTGAGGTTGTCATCATCATGAGGAGGGAAGGTCAAACTCAAAGTGTCTATCATTTTCCATCTAAGGAACAGTGCAGTACGATGATGATGTTTTGGCATCGTTAGCATCCTTTGTATATACTAGGATCTTGGCTGGACAAACAGAACAACATGTTCATGGTTCTGCTATATAACTTCTCCAAACAGCTTGGTGTTTGAAAGAGTGAGCACAGTTGAACTAGGCAAAGGCTTCTTTGCAGGTGAGCCTCCCTTTTATTTGAAAGCTGCCCAACAGGCGATTGTTCTTCGCCATGAGCCGCTCTCCCTGAAAGACCTTCACGGTGGCCATCTCTTGGTTGTCCTGGCAGGGGATGTGTGCTCAACCACTAGTCAATAGAGATCAGCTAGGAAACCAAAGCTTGTTTCTTCAACTCCACCATATAGAACGAACGTGGATGCAAATCGAAACCAAGCAAGCCCATCCTTGTGGGTGGAGAAAACCATTGTGTTCTCTGCAGGCAGCGGAGTGTTCCGCTTCAGGACGCTGGTCATGAAGCCCCCGGCTGTTTGGATACCTAGTGACAGGGGAGTTACATCTATCAGCGGCACCTCTTGCTCATCTCCCTCGGTACTCAAGGAGGCTGCCTGGGCAAGCGACGAAGTCACTGCAGACTTGCTCTACAACAGCACCTACATCCTTACCGTAGAGGTTTGTGGAGCTTCGGCCCTTGGTGCAAGTATCCAACCTCAATAATGGCCACGGTTCATGGTGAAACCATGGTGAAACACCATTCAAATCGTTCAAGGCCCATCTTGGCCCATCTTCTCCCTTTCGCCGCGGTTTTTCGCCTGTATGGCAGCACCATAAGCCACCACCTCATCAGGATTGATGCTGCGTGTAAGCTCTTTTCCATCGAAGAATTGGCTCAGAATCTGCTGCACTTTAGGAATGCGAGCAGAACCGCCTGCACTGCTGAGGTGACATGTGAAAAGCATACGAAGTCCAAACACTACCACGCGTGGAAATTGACCTGCGTTTGGATTTTGAACAGAAAAGTTACACTCCATCATCCCCACTCATCGTTGATTTCCAGATTCCAGCTTTGTCCCGGCATAGTCCTGTCAATACTACTGAATTTGTGGATTTGGGGGGGCTAGTTTGAACCTGCTGGAAAATGCTGCATGTCAAAATGTTGCACTAGATTGAAACTCCAAGATCCCCAAATAAACCAACAAAAATAAGTTCAGAATCACTGGATCGGATTCTCACCTGCCAAGATCACGGTGTTGACATCGGTCTTTTCCAAGCCCGCATCCTTCAGCACGGCACGGACAGGCTCTAACGTCCTCATGAAAAGCTCGTGGTTGAGCTTCTCAAATTGTGCCCGCGTCAAAGTCTCGGAGAGGTCCGTCCCATCAAAGAATCCTGCGATCGCACAAAAACACCGAGTCAACATGTGCAAAACTCGCTGAAGCAGTGCCCATGGCTATAGGCTAGCCACTATCGCTAACCACAATGAAGCAGCTTAATCATTTTCCACTCCAATGTTTGACATTGTTTAACTCATCCGCAGAGTTCGTCCTTCAACTTTGATCGTCACTTGTGGCACCGTGCTGAGTTTCCTCTTGGCTTTCTCTACTTCCACCCGCAGCCGTTCAAGGGCGGTCAGGTCAGCGTCTTTACCTCAACCGGCAGGAAGCGAAAGCGGTGCAACGGCACCCGACAGAACGCACCCAGAGGTGTAGCAGCTGCAAGCTGCACGCTATGGATTGCATCATAGACAACTACAGGTTCCCACTACAAATCTTTATAATCCTTTTAAGAAAATCCAATTAAATCCACAATCTTGACAGTAGGTTTGCGACTAGTTGGTTGCAGCTCTCTCTCTCTCTCTCTCTCAAACAGAAAACCCGTTGAATCCAGGACCATCGACCCGTCGACTCTCCAGTTGGAGCAAGGTGCCGGACTTCTAGTAAGGCCAGGAGCCTCAGGAGCCCCTAGTGGCGGCCAAGGTGCCGGACTTCTTTTTGAAGGTGTTAGCCAAATGTGCCACCACTTTTCGGTCAAAATCCTGACCACCCAAACGAGGATCTCCGCTTGAAGCTAAGACCGTCAGAGTCCCATCTGCTTCCGATCGAAGAATTGAGACCTGGATTGCACATGTGCATTTGCATCAAGTGGAGATCAAGCCTTGAACCATTCCCACTATGTACATGCAGAGCATATAGATGCATATAGCATAGTCATACAAACCAAATATCTTGTCTCGCATGAGGTCATTTACAATTGGCAAGCGCGAATCGTTGCAAAACTTCTCAGGAGGATCCAAGGAAAAACGAACCCCCGACCAGTGCCACTCAAAGAAACGAACATTTGGACCTCGAGGACTTAACATGTATAGAGCTTGGATCCTCCAGAATATATTTGCAGTGGACATCGCAGGTGCCACCACCCAAGTCATAAACCAAAAGAATCTCCCCAGTTCCTCTCTTTTCCAGGCCATAGGCCACTGCCGCTGCTGTCGGCTCGTTAATGATCCGCAGGACCTCCAAGCCTGCCAAGGAGCCCGCTGTCTTCACTGCCTGGCGCATGGCCTGCAGAAAGGCGAAGGTGGCATTTTACGCAGCACATCGTGCACCATGCGTGAGAGAAACTCATGCATTTTTGATGCAGCCCAACAGCTTAAGATGTTGGTTTTGATTGTAGATTTAAACATGGGACAGCGCTGAGTTGCCGTTGGAAAGCGCACAAATGCATAAATACATGCATGATTGCATGATCATGCATGATCATGATCCGCTTACAATGGCGCAGTCTGACAGCGAAACACAAACCGGCAAGTCGTGGGCACTCTGTGGGAACGGCAAACACTTCAGCCAAGAGGCGTGATCGAAGACAGCCGGTACAGTGACCACCGCATGCAAGACCTCGCGGCCCAAGTAGTCACTGGCTCTGGCCTTGAGCTTCTGGAGGATGAGGGAAGAGATGTCTTCTGGTTTCAGCACTTTGGCCTTACCTCAGGGAGCGTGGTGCAGCCAGTGGATGCCAGCCATCCAAATGATTCAATACAGTAGTGGCCTTCGAAACCCATGCCATGAAGTGCTCACAATTGTCTGAAATTCCCGCTCAGTTGTCCAGGAACTTATTGCCATGATATGCCATGGGTACAGAGTTATACAGAATGCCAACATAGCGACAGTCGCTTAGGATTGACAAGGAAAGGCAAATGGCAAGGAACCGCTGCGGTTGATGCTGATCGCTGCATTGCCCTCGGAGTCAGCCACCACCTGGAGTAATTGAGGTCCCTGTCTCCGGACCCACCCCGACAGTTTATCTAGTTTTGTTACTAGTAGTGATGCCCTTTGCTACTAGTAGCTTCTTGTTTTTCACTACTTTGCCAATGCGATTCAATGATGGGTTCTTCCCCACCACAAAACACACCAAAACTCAAACCCCTTCATACCCCTTCCTGACACTTGCGACACGAGCTCGGCCTTGAAGGGCCAGGTCTTCAAGTCCCGTTGCACGGCAGAGTCCTCAAAGCGACGTCCCATCAAGCGCTTCACATCGAAGATCCGTGAGGCCGTATTCCTCCGCCAAACGTGGGCAATTCAAACTCTCTCGGAGCGTTCACATTCTCTCAGAGCGGCCTGCCTCGTCTTGTTTACTGGATGTTTTGTTAGATCTTGTGGTCGCTATATGCCATCTAAGCCTATGCACGTGGATGTAATGAATTCCTAGCTGTTAGATGCTGCTCTAAAGCATGGTTCTTGATGTTTCAAGTTATTGGGCAGCCAAAAGGATTCAAGAAGTAACTAATGGAGAGGAGGCGCGTGACATGGTGCTTGCGAGTGAGTGGGTGAGGGAGTGAGAGCGTGGGTAGGTGGGTGAGTGAGGGAGGGGAGTGAGGGAGGGAGTGAGTGAGTGCGTGCGTGAGTGTCTGTGTGTGTGCCCATCGAGGTACGCGCCAACTTGGCCAAGAGACTTTGCAGCTTCACCCACGAGGGTTTCCTCATCATCAAAGGCCACAGTGGACGGCATCATGCGATTGCCTTGATCGCTCGGCACAATCTCCACGACACCATTCTTGTAGACACCTGGGATGAAGTCATCTGGTGAAGCGAGGAGATTTCTTGTGGTTTTGTCTAGGCTGCATTCTTGAGTTTTTGGAAGACTTTCCATGACTGGTGTGCTGGTTTTTTTGATGCCTGAACACGCACACGGGCATCCACACATACAAGGCACCTACGCAAGAAAAGGTCGTCCCAAGATCAAGACCTGGATGCAGCGCCACGCCGAAGAACAATAACATATTAATTATTGTGTCTAATTGACCAGCATCGAAAATCCGTGTGCTGAGCCTGCTCACGAGTTTGCCGTCAAGAAGGACAGTCACATGCCTCTAACTATACTGTGTGCACAGGTATATGTATGCTGAACTAAACTCGTTTGTGAGGAGAATGGTGGATGCAGACCCAAGCTTCATAGTTCCATGCAGTCAGTTGGTCTCCACATTGGTCCACACTGCAAGTCCCCCATAATTATGCCGAGAACATGCCAGTCAAAAAATGCAGACCGGAGACCGTAGGGTTACAACTCTAGTTGCTAGTCTTTCAATCAAAGCGCCTCAACTACAGTATATATACCTGCATCTGCCGTCCTGAGGCGCCCAGCCTACTACAGGTCCGTCAACCTTGTTGTCATCTCCAGCCACCAGCAGTGCTGCCAAAACAGGAAGCAGGCCGAAACCGCGCCGAGACATAGCGGCTCACACATGCTCAAGCATCACGTTTGTCATTGCTGAAGCCAAAGGTCTGTGGCCAATGCAGTCAACGGCAAGCGCTCCTTTTCTTCACCAAGTGTGACTTACCTAGCGCCGGAAATGGGCCCAAGTGGATACCATCGGGCATCACGACCATCTCTGTCCACTCCAAAACCGGAATTCGAAAGAACCTTTGTGAGTAGTAATGTGGTTACAGGTAAACGACCGAGAACTACCAATAAGTCGCACCTGGTTTTCCTTGAGCCAAACGGTAGTAAAGTGAGACATGTATACGACATCCTAGCGTGAAACAACACCCCCCGCTGAACGAAAATGGGAGGAGTGAAGTTATGTACAGTGCATTAATTAAGGACCTACTAAGGTATCCGGTCCCCCGGTACGTGCGAAGCATTGGACCGGAACGTGCCTTGAGATGGAGAGGATGGTTGACCTCAAGGACGGATCATATATTGCACTGTCATGCTTTGATGCTAGGGTTGAACATGTCTCAACTGATTCATGCATGAAAGTTCAAAGCAAGCTCACAAAGATAATCTCTTTTGCGCAGCGGAACTGGGAGTGCAATGCCAACCTTTTAGAAAGCAGGAACAAAGCCATCAAGGCACACACTCCCGCGTGGCGACAAAGCACAACAAAAGATGTGCGCTCTTCATTGCAAGGATTGAGAGCCAAGTTCATCGACCTGAACTCAAACGAATTAGCTGCTGGTTTCAGGCAACCGGTCCCCCGGTGCATCACAGAAACGGTCATCCAGGCAACCGCTCCCGCGGTGCGTTGAGGGAAAACACAGTGCACAAAGACAGCCGAGTCACCCGTAGATTTTATTCTCTTCTCCACAGGCAACAGCTCCCGCTGTGCGTCGTGTTCACCACCTGCGCTGACTCCACCAGTCGTGTCCTCGCCAGTCACTGCCACGACCGCGATCATCTTGCCACCAGTTGCGGTTGGATGATGACCACCAGGAAGACGATGAGGATGACTGCTGCCAATCATGGTATTGATCACTTCCGGCAGCTCCTCGCCAGCGTTGCTCTGATGTCTCGGCCTGAGTACGTGTTGCCCTGGCCAGACTTTCACCTGGACCTGGTGCGGCCTTGGCCTTGGGAATCACAAGTGCCCTTGTTTCTTTCACAAGGTTGATGTCCAAGCCAGGTACAAATTGAGCATCGCCCATCACGAATTCCAGGAGTTCATCCAACACATCATCAGGGTCCGTCTTCTCACTTCGCCACTCACCTCCAAATCCCAGGATTGCGGGTCGTTTTGCACCTTGACAATAGTCCGCAGCGAAAGTCTCAGGACGGTGCAGCCTGTTCTTCCAATAAATGAAGAAGTCCTCGCTTAGGTCGGCATCATTCCCTTTTGCTGGTTCGTTCATGAAGATGACCTTGCCAGCGTATCGATGACCGATGCCACGAGCAATCATTTCCCTTGTCCTCGGAGGGTCAGGGATGATGGCATCTGACAATCGTTCCAGGAATTGAATGCAGATTGGAGAGAGGTCCTGGGCTGCGCAGTTGAACGCGTAGAAGGCGTCAACCAGCTGTCGCTGCGATACCGTCATGGACATCTTGTCCGCCTTCTGGACATGGCTTTTGGCGTTCGCTTTCAAGATGTTGATGCCCGAACGAGAAGCACGTTGAACTTCATGGCCAGGCGTCCCCGCCGGCGTCCTCCTCACACCTGTTCCTTGCAGCCTGTCCTCAGGTACCATATCCATCGTGACTTCGATACCGAGATCTGCTGCAATTTCCTCGATCCGAATGAGCTGAGCAGCTTTACACAGATCCGAGGCATTGTTGAGGAAGGTGCCGCATGTGATGCAGGACATCATGCCATGGGTGTAGGTATTTGTGCACGTTGGGCACTGAGCTTCTGGCATCTGAATGCCCTCAACGACCATCCATCGAGTGTTGCCAAAACCCTCAGTCTCGGGGTGGATCTTGCGCCAATCAAACCGAGGTCGGTTGTAATTGGGCAGCATCTCTTTGGGCGACACTTGGTTCCTGTAGGCGTTGAAATTGGGCCTGCGAACGACATACGTGACCTCGTATGTTTCCAAATCAGGATTCTGCTTTCCTGATATCATTTGGTCTTTCACGCCTGGGCGCTCAAACAGTTCACCGTACACGAATGGGGAAAAGGTGTCCACCTTACCACACCACCTCTCATAGTCACCAAGGACCTGGTAGGTGTACTTCTCCAGTGGGCTTTTCACCATTTCATCGTCATCGGCAACTGGTCCCCCAGTGCGTGCTGAATTGAAGGCTTTTGTTTCACCGGTAATGATGCCGCGATAGTGTGCGTACACATGGTTCGCGAAGGCATAGCATCGGGACTCCATGTCATACACATAAATCACGTTCCGGTTTGCCAGCCAGTCAGGGCATAGGATTGTACCAGCAGTTGTTTCAATGAGCCGGTGCCCGTTCAAGATCATCATCTGGAGATCCAAGGCAACACAGATGGGGCGAGTCGCCGCCATCGCTGCATAGTCAGTGCCCGAAATCGTCCACGGATCTTCCTTCGTCAAGAAGGTGAACCTGGCTCCAGTTCTATTGCCGCCGGGAATCAACCCCATGTTGATGATCTCAACCAGTGCTGCCCGGTGCGTGTAGTGATAGAGGATGGTGGGGGCCACCTCCTTCACCTTTCCCAGCGCACCTCGCGGAACCCGAGGGAATTTGCCGGCCAGATATTCCACCGAAGTATACTCCTCATCGAGAGTGACAAAGCGCTCATGCTCAGGAAGTGCATCCTTCACGTTGTTGTTTGACCATTCATTATGGTTTTGAATCGCCTTGATTCGAAGAGGTGTATACTGGTATTTTCCACCGACCAAAGTCCCCTTTGGCGCAATCCTTACCTCGAGCATGAATCTGTGATTGGATGTGATGACCGTCAGCAGTTCATCGTTGGTAAGGTTGACATCGTACTTCCGCTTGATGAACGAGTACACCTTGCCAAAATCCATCCACAGCCCAGCGTCGAAGCTCGGAGGCTGCACCTTGTGCCAGGATTGTCTGCTATGCTCCCATCCTCGGAGCAAGCCCGAGACGCGTCGGGAAATCCAGACTTGTTTCGAGTTCAGGTTCGCCAAATTGGCAGCACCCGGAACCGATCTTGACTGCAATGCCACAACTTCGTTTTCCCCAAGAGGCGACGAAACGGGAGGCACCGGTGGTGCCCTAGGCATGGCCTTGGCTTTGACAGCTGGTTTTGCTGTCGGGGTCGAATCCGAGGCCACAGCTCCCGCCGGGCGTTTTGGTACTTTGGGCTGAGTTTCCTCTGTTGGCTTCATTTCAACATCGGCCTCAGCTCCCGCCGGGCGTGCTTTTGCTTTCGGTGATGCCGGTTTAGTCTTTGACTTTGCAGTCTCATGTGGCGCTTTTGGCGCCCCCGGCTCACCTGATGCTTTCGCCTTCGGGATCCTAGGTTGTGGTGCCTTGTTGGCCAGGTCAGGCTCGTTCCCCAAAGTGGTGACCTCGCGGAACTTTCTGAGTGCCTCACCAGTGAGCTGCGGGATGTCCTCTTCTGCCATGTAGATACGAATGACATCGCTCTCATCCTCCTTCTTTCTCAACTGGTAGGTGACACCCGCGACCTGACATGAGTCGGCATGCATAGATGTGAGGATCGGTTCCTTGAAAACAATTTCTTCATCTGAGTCATCATCTGGCTGATCTTTGTTTTCAAAGCCCTGTCTGATGGCGGAGTCAAGGTGATCTTTGAGAAGTTCATTGACATAGTTTTCATCCGCAATGGGTTCATTGGATACATGAAGCTCTTCTTCTTCCGTGATGGTCACAGGGTCCACCTCGGTGTCACCGTGCTTTGGCATATCAGCGGTGACAGACACGAACTCCATGCCCGGAGTGCTCACGGGAGCCTGGTTGTTTGCATCTCGGCCTTCCGTCCCCGGAGGCGAATCAGCGCTGGGCGCAAAGGTGTCGTCAATCTCAATGACTTCTGGCACACTTGCATCCGGCATTGTCTGATCAGCCTCCGACGGCTCGGCCGGGACTTGCACATCCTGACCCTCGTCATAGAAATCCGGACCAACGGTTCCCCGTGGCATGTTGTAAAGTCGCTGATTGAATGGCAAGAGCTTGGCAGCTTCAATCTGCTCCTTGGTCGCGTAGACTGGGTCCCCAGCATCATCCATGTGAGCGACCTCAGTAGTCTCAGAGACCGTCAGGAGCCAGCCATTCTTTTGGTCGATGGCAGTCTGCCGCTTTTGACCCGGGAGAAGCTCATCGTGCTCGTCGAAGTCACCCAAAAAGAGGTACCCGGAATCAATGCGTCGCTTCCAGATGTGCTCAAGCATATGCTGACGGTGGGTCTTTTCCCCACGAGGTTTCGCGAAAAGGTTGGCATCTTTTCGCAGCACATCAACGCCAGCGAGCACCCAGTAGTGGTAGGCGAACAGAGCAACATTTGCGTAGTACTTCACGAACATCGCCCGGTTCTCTTCTGTGTTGTGGCAGTGGAAGTTATCGTACCGCTGACACGATCGAACCAGGGTGGTGCCTGTCACATTCGTGACGCCAAGGCGAGTGAAGACATCCGCTGATTGGCACATTTGACGGGCGTATTCTTCCGGCAGTCCATAACTCTGCGAATCGCAGTAGCAGATGACGATCAGGGCTGCCACGTCTTTCCTCTGTCTCAAGTCCGCCAAACGCCTCATCTGCTGGGCATGTTTCTGTGCCAGCTCTGCCTGCCACTCATAGGCCGCCCTCTGCTTGGCAGGGTTCCGGTGGAGCACGTTAGTGTCCACCCAAGGGTTGCCCACAAATCCGTGGTTGCCGTACACATCATTTCCGGCATATGATACCACGATGACGGCTGGGGCAGCACCTCCCGGTGTGCGACGCCTTCCGTTGTCAAGACAAGCCTCTATTCCGTCGATGATCGCTTCCAGGCCACGGCCCCAATGCAGGCTGTATTGGACGCTGCCTGCGCGATCCGTCAGGAGTGACGGTCCTGCCTCCTTCAAGTATTCGCCCACGTTGCGCTTGACGCGCGTGGTC